TGGTCAAGTTTCCGAAAAACGCTTAAACACGTATATTTTATTTTGTTTTTTTACATATTTTAAGATTTTTTTTATAAATGTATACAGGGTGTTTCGAAAAATCTGGTCATTGATTAATCACGATCCTGCTTAAAGCGCTTAACGTAAAAAGCTGATTTTTGGAAAGCAGATTGGCTTTAGGGTGTAGAGGTTCGATAAGAAGGGATTTTTCGAAACTCGAATTCTAAGGGGGTGAAACTATCCCTCAAATATTAAAATATTTTTTATTTAAAAACCGGTGAGTTTTTCGGAACAACTCTTAAACACGTATACTTTATTTTGTTGTTTTACATATCTTAAGATTTTTTTATAAATTTATACAGGGTGTTTCATAAAATATGACCATTGAGTAATCACGATTCTGCTTAAACTGCTTGACGTTTAAAGCTGATTTTTGGCAAACGGATTGACTGTGGAGTGTAGAGGTTCGATAAGGAGGGGTTTCTCGAATTTCAAATTCCAAGAGGGAGAAAACGCCCCTCAATATTACAATATTTGTTATTTAAAAAACGGTTAGTCTTCGGGAAAACGCTTGGACAAGCATAATCTGTTTGGTTTTTTTACATATTTTGAAATTTTTTAAAAAATCATACAGGGTGTTCCAAAAAGTTGGGTAATTTCTTAACCACGATTCTGCTTAAACTGTTTGACGTAAAAAGCTTATTTTTGGCATCACCATTACAAATGATTAATTCGACGCGAACGAAGTCGCTGGTACACGCTAGTATAAAATAAATTTCCGTCATTTTTATGTAAGTCTCTTGGTAAAAATCGTTATGACTAACCGTTCTCAAGATATTTGGAATGGAAACAGTTAATACATGTTATTATTGACAAAAAATAAGCATGTTAACATATAGGTAGTTATTTGACTGAAATAATACATTTTGAAACTCTTTATTTTTCTAAATGTCTAAAGTTTCATTTTTTTTTTGAAAATATTGCATTAAAACAGTTTCTGTTGAACCTTTTGCATAAAAACATTTCAAATTTATGATTTGAATCTAACTATTTTAGTCAATGATGACACATGTATTGAGTATTACTATTTCAAATATCTTGAGAACCATTACTCGTACCGATTCTTACCAAGATACCTTTTTTACGCCGAAAATATATATTTTTTCAGTGACATACAAGTACGGACGAAAAGTTATTACTCTTCAAAATAGTTAAAAATACAAAAGTGGCGAAAAAATGTGGGATTTCTAAAATTAGTAAAAACGGTAAAAAAGATTAAATAAATAAAAATTAAAAAAACATAAGAGAGAAAATTGAACATAACATAAGAGCCATGAATTGTAAAAAATGTCTATACCTATAAGGATTTTTTTTGGATATAAGAGCCATTTTTCCCTCAGACCACAAAACGTGTGAGAGTTTGAAGTTAGGGACCGTGAAAACCATGGGTATTCTTTTTATGATTGTTCCTAGAAATTCAAAAACACCCTATAAGGCCTTAAATCAGACCGAGCGGCGTCTTTTCGACCTCCACCTCAAACCGAGTGACCCTCCGTTCATTAGTTTCGCCGAAATCCGATCGTAAAACTTTTTAAAGCCCCATTCTTGGGTCGGAACGGCCTCTCGCCTAAAGCCAGACGAAGACGGAGAACGTTAGAAAAAGCCCAAATGTTACCATCCCGATGAATGAAAGAAAAGAAAAGCAAACCAAGACGACGCTGTGTCTGGCCTAGCTCGCCTGGCGACAGCCTGTCTGGCGTGACCGCGGCGCCGTTGCCGATACCGCGCATTCCATGCTCTATCAGACTGGTTTTAAACGGTTTCTGTTTGTGAAATTCGTTAAATTAGCTAATAGGGTAGTTGTAGAGTCGATTTAGGGGAGTTGTTTGGGAAAATCGGGTGTGAAAAGTGGGAAATTGGAAAGTAGGCGAAGGGGTCGAGGAGGTGGCAACTGTGCGGGCAAACTTGTTTTCCAAACGGATGTCGTACCACCCAACGCGATAAGCGAGAAGCGAGAGGCGCCGAGCTCGGGTCGCCGCAGTGTCTGCCAGCACCAGACAGAGAGGGGACGAACGACGGCACTTCCCGCATTGATTTCGACTTTTACAGTTTAGTCAGGCCGAGTGGGGGAATTCTCCGAACGTCGCGATCGAAAATGGTGGCAAAGTAAGTGAACTGCGCTCGCTTCTCTCGCATTTTTGTTCGTTTTTAGTGCTTTATTTTGGTTAAATTATCGTGCTCGCGCCCCCAAACAGTGTCTCGATGGCGCACGGACTGAATTCCGTGATAAGACGCGGCGGAGCTCCGGCACAGTGCAGGCCTGAAGGCAAGACGGGCGTCGGGTCGCGCCGAATCTTTTCTCCGCAGTTCAAGTTGCAAGTGCTCGATTCCTATCGCAACGACGCCGACTGCAAGGGCAACCAGAGGGCCACCGCCCGCAAGTACGGCATCCATCGCAGGCAGATCCAGAAATGGCTGCAGGTGGAGAACACCTTGAGGAGCGGGGTGGGCGGCGGAAAGCAGCAGCAGCCGCCGCAGGCGAAAAGCGAGGTGGCCTTGAACGGGCACAGACAGCGGGACGACGAGAGCAGCGCCAGCGCGGCTGCCGAGCCGCCGCGCGTTCCGGCGCTAGAGCCCCCTACGAGCTGGCGCGCGAAACCGCCGTCCGCGCCTCTGCCCGAGGCCACGGCGCCTATGGACCTGTCGCTCAAAAGGGCCCCCGCGCCTTGGGACCTCTCCCTTAAGAGGAGGGCGGAGGAGGACGTCAACACCAAGCCCGTCAAATTGTTCAAACCCTACTTGGATGACCTCAAGGACCGGACTAGTCCTCCTAAGATGTCTCCGGCGTCCCCGCACTCATTATACTGCTGCCAGCCACCCTTAACGTGCTCTCCCGAGTTGTTTTACATCAACAATAACAACAATTTGTATTGCGACGTCAAGTCTCCGGAATACCATCCCGCCTACACACTTCACGAGCTTCAGCCGAAAACGGCTTTTTATCCGTATCCCCCTTACTATCCAGACTATCATCCAGAGCTTAGTCCACCGTATTGCCCATATGAGGAACCCCACAAGTTACAGCCCGCCTACAGCTTGGACTTCAAACTCAGCGCCATAGATTGCCATTCCAGGGCGTTACCAAAGTACAACTCTCCCAGTCAGCGATGGATCAAAAATGAGGACGATTCGAGTAGTGCGAGTGAAACGTTGAAACAGACTCATGCAGTGAGGTAGAGAAAATGTCGTTTGGCTGACCAAACACCAATCTTAGTTTGTAGATGAATTATGTAGTTGCCTTTGATTCAGGTGCTAAAATAATGCCACAACTTGTAGCGATATCGCTCGTTACAAGATACAAAATACCAATAATTGCTCAGTAGTTTTTAGCAATGTATTTACAATGATGTGCCTTTATAACTTTAAGAAACTATGTGCCAAAAAAAATATTTACTGTTAGGCAGCTATGTAATGTTTATTAATACCTGATGTTATGCAATATTTTTATATTACTTACTTAATAACGTTAGTACATATCACTTATAAGATGAGGTCGAAATACTTCAGATTTTATATTTTATTTAATATACAAAGTATAATCAACAAATTCTGAAATAATTTCACCTCTTAAAATGTTGAAACAATTGCCATAAAACTTGGTTGTATGAACTGCCAACTTAACAAATATTTATATTTATATACACTACAACTTTCAATATTTTAAAAAAGAATATTAGCAATTATTGTAAATGTGATTTAGTTTAAAATGGAAATACCTTTTTAGTTTTGACTCTGAAAAGACACAATTATACAAACTATATTTTTAGGAAAAAATGAGCTATATTTAGATGTATTTTTAATATTTTAAAGAATTTATTATATATCCACTAATTCACAAGAAAGAAATTAACAAGATTTGTAAATATTTTATTAAAAATAAGCAGCTCATGCTTATGTAAAGATATGAGAAAGATTTTATAGATATGTAATATTTTATATCAGAAATGTTTTATATTGAAAAATAATAAAAAATATTTTGTAAAACTTATTGGAAGTTTTATTTTTGTACGTGAGTCAGAAAATGAACTGGTTTTATATTACTATGGAAAATTGAACTACGTGACTAAAAAGTTAATAGGAATTTTAAATAATCCTGATAAGATATGAGAGACTACGTAGCAATTTACAACAAAGAAGATTAGTAACATATGGGTGACCTTTCTGATACTTTTCAATATTTCTTCTATTTACAAAACAAAGGTAATAACAGATAAAGAGTCATAAAAATATGTAATACATGCAATATGCGGTTCGTTTACAGCTGCCCCAAATCTCAAAACAACAAAAATTGATTACAAAATGAACAAAGAACCAGTTTTCCAAGAAATTCTCCGTATAAATAAATATGTATATCCGTCATTAATTTAATTTCACATTTCTGATTAATAAGTTATAGGAAAATTACTTGGAAATCTTAATTCATGTTGTTTACACGTTATTTCTGTATAATATCGAAATTAATTTTAATATTTTGGTCGATCATTGATTAAAAAAAAATTAACTGACTACTCCACTGCATTAGAAATTGTGTCAGTGTCGCCCTCTAGTGTGGAGCAGTCAAGGTTTGAATATACAAATGTAGAATTCTGTTAGAGCAAAATAACTCCACTGTTCTTAATTTACGACAAAACATGATATATTGCTTAAATTACTTATTTCAATTACGCTAGAATAAAGCCACCTCTCCAGAGCTCTATAATATCAAACTTAAAGAAAAAAATAACCTAAAGAGCCACACCAAAACCGCCTTATTTAAAAAACTATTTTGTTTAAAGGTCTATAGATGGCACTACTCACGAAATCCTATTAAGAGTGGAAAAACTTAAACGGTTTCCTAGATATTTTCTGTGTTCATCACAATTTATATAATTATATAATGCATAGTCTGGTCAAAAATTAATAATAAAATAATAGGTAGGTACCAAACAGGCACAAAAAAATGTAAGATAATTCCTTTGATATATTTAAATTACTTGAACATACTAAAAACATTCAATTGTGCAAGACAGTTTTCTTAAATAAATAATATCATCTATTATCTGTTACTAGGATTCAATTCTAAAATATAGATAATAATTCTAATTATGTGTTACATTTCAGATAACCTATTGGTACAGTAAACTAAGGTAAAATAATATTTTGAAGGCGAAATATAATTTCATGAAGCAAATTTTGGATAATGACAAAGAAGGAACTTAAAAATTTGTTTAACTATCAAGTCCCAAATCATACAGTACATATATAATATGAACATAAATCTCAAATACTGAATACAGCGAATATACTCACATTTTAGATTAATAAATTAATCCTATATAACAGAAAAATGCAAAAAGTTGTCTGGATAACTTAAATGTTCTGACATCCATTGCAACGGTGTCTCTAATGGAGGAATCATACCATGGGTTTTAACCTTAACTGAAATATTATCATGCAAAAATGAATCATAAACACATATAATATATTTATTCCTACCTGAAGACTTGTCAGGAAATGTCTCTTTAAGAAGATCTAGTAAAGTTTTTCTTTTACCTTCATCTGTAACTGGCTTGACAAGTTTTTGTTTATAACTATCATCTATGTAACATCTAAATGGAATGTACTTGAAATATTCATTATCACCAGATGGTTCCATAAGCTTTCTGTTAACTGCCCAAAATTGATCAAATTTATCTAAAAAAAGTATTTTTTTACTAAAAATAATCTCGTCATCATATTATAAAATAAACTTGCCATTCTGTAAGCCTAGCCACAATTGACTGTGGTCTCTTTTCTGCATGCTTGTTACAATTTGACCTCTGTGCTTTAATACATCGGATTCCTTTAAGCATGCCATAAAATAGGACTCAACCATTTCCCTAAAATTATTGTATGCAACTAGTGTTTGTACCTATAATATTAATTTGACGTACTTATTACTAAACCTGTACACTTGAGTTTCAGGAAACTTGTCATAGTGTACTATCACAATCCAAGGCAACGTTTCATTATCAGTGTCTACTAGAATATCGTACAGTACTCCTATAGGAAAGTGCCATTTCATTGGTTGTCCATTATACTCGAGCCACATTTCTTGGTCTTGTTTATCATTTGTAATATATTTCAAAAAGTGCTTTTTTACTTTGTCCATAACTAAAACAAGACAAATACGATGTCGTATCTTAAAGCACGTAGTTCGGGCGACAAACCTAGAGGAAAATAACTTAATCTGGGTACCATCAAGTAAATAGGATCTGGCTGTTGTAATTCAACAACTTCGTCGGGATTGAGCTTAAAACATACGGGCAATTTGCCTTCCCATACTTCTCTTAAGATTTCTCGGTCGTGCGCCATTATACTGAAGGTATTTTATGAAAAAATACCAAATATACCTTTTTTTTAAGTTATCAATTTTAACGAATTAAAATCTGAGGTTAGGATTTTGACAACAAAAAGAATTTCTTGCAAAATTGATTGTATTTCTGGTTGCCTATGGATCAAATGTAGAGATCTTGTGCATGTTCACAAAACGAAGACTTTTAAAAACGCTAAGAACAATATATTGATAAAACCGATTTGGTTATTGTCTACCACATTCAAAGTAAAATTTTTAGATTATGATCCGTATCTCTATTTTTTTGTTTTAAAAATCTCTACATTATTACAATAAAAAAACTGACTAAGTAATCAATTACAATTTAATAAAATAAGGAATTATAAAAATGGAATATTTTTTCTTAAACTCTATCTGAACATAAAGCAAAGACAGAACTCTAACTGCTATCTTTGGTTAGAAATGAAATTCGAGATTGAAGCCATTCAAAATAAAAGGTTACTTTGGTAAAAAGAGCATTTTGCTGAATGTCGCAATGTGTAATTTGGTTGTTTATGAAGGAAGGACCAATACTAACAATACCATGGACAAAATATCGCTTCGAGGTTGGATGTTTGAAGGCCAGCGCTCCACCACTATCACCTTTACAAACACTTGTGGCTAAAATAAAATATAAATAAAATATTAATCAGTCTTGAAAGGAAATCTATATTATATAGTATAAGAGTACCTACATTGATTGAAATATCCTGCGCATAGTTTATCTCCTGCAAAATATTTTGCTGCCCATTCTTCATCAAATTCAGATTGACAAGTATTGTCATCTTTGTATGGCAACTCGATTTCCTTCAATTTATCAGCCACATCTGAACCAGACTTTGTAAATCCCCAACCTGTTACCTAGAAATATTTAATACAATTAAAGAGTAAGAAAAAAACAACGATTTACATTTGATAGGAATTTTTAGGTAATCAACTTAAAAGTCCATTTCACTATGCTAGTCCGAAAAAGTAGCAAAATAAGCGTTCGGCATTTAACGGTTTATGTAAAACTGGCTAGGTATTTTTACACAAATAAAGAAGGAAATTTAAGATAAAGGATTATACTATATCCGTATTGTAGCACATTTTTTAGACAACTTCTTTATTTTCGAGATTTTGAGGGTCAAACATAACATCAACAAAATATTCCTTATGTTTGGACTAAATTTTCTCGAAAATAAAGACGTAATTTAAAATTCCGTTACAATACGGAAATAGATTGAAGTTTTGTGATTACAGTGGTATATAATTTATATGTTTTTGTAACAAATTACTCGCTATTTTATGGTAAATGCTGAAGCTCTGCAAACCTTAATCAAGCTTTAATCAAAGCACGTGTGTTTGGAATTTTAGGTGTGGCTTAACACGACAGGATCGGGCCTTAGATTCAGGCAGATTTCTGAAATATAATATAGGTATATTTCTTTCGGTCACATACCCGCTTTACCCGACCCCTGTCAGCGACCCGAACAGTACAGCGTAATAGACTCTTAAAGGAAGGATTTAATCTAAGTTCAATTTAAATCTTACCACTCCTTGAGCGTTCAATGACAAGGAGAACTCGTTAACATTCAAATAGCAGATAGGCTGTATCACTGGGGATAAAGCAAACGGTGATTTCAACTTTAGAATGGCTATATCACCACGAAAGTTTCGTAGTTCACCTTTATATTCGTTATTGGTTTCTATCAGATCGACCTAAAAAAGCTAATTTGTATACAGGTTGACACTGTAACACTGAAGTATAGTTGACACGGTCAAAGTGTACAGGTTGTCCCATTTTCATATGTTTTATGGGGTTTCTCGTTTATGAGTTACAAAGATATTATTGTAATTTATCCAACATATTAGTGATATCGATTTCACTAATAAACGAATCGAGTACGTAATTAAGTCAGTATATATAAATCAACAAGAAGTTCCTTACGAAAATACAGCTAAATATCTTGGCATGTTAAATAAAGTCAGGTGGAAATCGTATGTAAAGAAAAAATGTGAAGAACTCAAATTAAAGTACAGGAAAATGTACTGGTTACTAGGATGACATTCAACTCTGTCAATATAAAATAAGCTTTTGCTTTATCTAAAAGTCCTGAAGCCAATATGAACTTATGGTATTCAAACTTTGGGGATGTACCAAACAAAGCAACCGAAATATTATCTAAAGATTCCAAAACAAGATACTATGAGGTATTTTGACGCACCGTGGTATATTCGCAATGGCAATCTATATAAGGACTTACCCAAATAACACAACACAACTTCTATAGATATCTTGAGGATATCCACCATGATATAGTAAATATCTTAGGATATCCAAAAACCAAAGGAGGATATTTATGGGATATCCAGATGGGACAAAAAGTCATCTTCAAGACATCCCCAGCTAGCCTTTTATTTAATATTTGGGGATATCAGGATAATACAAGCGATGTTGGGAGCATTATAGAATATTTTAGGGACATTATATGAGAACTGTTATTTGACAATGTTTACTTCATCCTTAGTTTATAGTAAAACGTTCGCGAGTTAGTTTTATTTTAGCCACATTTGACATTATTCATTGATATTTTTATTAACAGCTCTAAAATATATCGAAAAAACGGCGTTCAATTGGCTTGAAAATTACGATCGATGGCATTCCCCATATAATTTTACATACAAAATAACAGCAATCTTCATTTCCAAGCCACCTCTGACGCCATTTTTTTCGATCGTATGGTATTATACCAGGTTATACCAGGGGGGTGACAGTGAAATAGGAAAATTGGAAACAGTCATTAGTGTCATTCCTGTCATTCTCCTCACGACAAGTATGGCCGCCTAGACAAGGACAGCATTGTTTTTGTCTAACTATTGTCTAACTTCACAGTTTAGAATTGACAGATTTCAGTTTCAGAGACAACATCAGATTTGTTCTAGAACAAATTCGAAAATTGTGTCGAAAATATTCGACGCCATTTTAATTCATTCCGTTTAGTTTCGTTTTGGAAGTTCAATTTAATATTTCGGCTGAAATTTATAATTATAAAGGTAATAAAGTATATAAAATATATATTACATGAAGAATCCTGGAGAAAATGACGTTTCTGCCGTAGTAGGTATGTCCCATGTATATGAAAAATAGGTAGTAAATAAACACTGTTTTTACATTTTTTAGATGCAAGAAAATGGTGTTATAATCTCTTTGATCGGCGATTTTTTTGAAAATGGAAACAATTTACAGCAAGGTAAGATCATTTTTAACTATAGCCAACATCATTTATCTCCAATATGTGCGATTTATTGTCAATAATGCAATAAATCGGACTGATAATCTGATTATGTTATCCGACTAAAAGTCTCTTTTTGCTTCTTTTTGATTTATAAGCCAGGTCTCTTTGGGAATAATGGACGCTTTTTTAAACAGTATATTTATATTTTATACCTATTGATATTTTTAGATTGTTAATTTTAGTATAAAAAAATTTGTTTTTCTGTTTTCAGGTTTTTGTATAAGGCTCCCGTTTTCATGTCCCTGTGTCCGTTTTCTGTCCTTGAAGTCTGCGAATACGTGTGTTTATTTACAAATTACTGTAAGTCATGCTTATACCTTAACTAATTTACGTTAAAAGTACATATAATTAACTAATTGGTATTGAAACAATACAATCCTCTATATTTTTATGTTTATTTAGTCACGTTGTTCCATACTTCAAATAAATATATGTGAATAAATTATTTTTTGGTTTTATTTATGAAAAGAAAAAATACAAAATACATTTGAACTGAAAGAGGGCCCGCCATTAAATAACCGGAAACGGAAATGAAAATTAAGCCATCATGTCCTTATCATGTCAACCTGTCAATTGGAAACTTAGTTCTCCAGACGACAACGAAGGCTTTCGGTGGCGTATCGTGTTTCCACGATTTAACACAGAGTTGACACTTCTTTCTAGTTAATTATTTTATGGTTATACTACCCTTTATGGAGTCTAGCAGTTTATGTCTAGCAGCAACAGTTTACATCAAAGTTAGCACACAGGATACAGGTATAATTTCTAACACCACACATTCCAGAAACTCAAAATTTAAACACAAAAATAGGATTTATGTTTGAATAGATCAAACACGAAAATGGGTTTAGGGATACAAAACTTCAACAAAAAGCTTTCAACAAATTTTCACCTACAATTTTGTCACAAATTTTTCATTGTGAGACCCTGAGTCCTGAGTCGTTCGTCGTTTTTCGACATTAGTTGAGGTTAGGATAGAATTTCTGCTAGAACAAGGCTACAAAACTATACAAAAACAAACAACTGTCGAGATGGATTGTGGGAAATTTTTTGCGCGGGCGTTTTAAATTCTCTGTATTACTGGGAGTGGCCAAGCTCATAAATATCCAGATTATCCAGAAGATACCTGATATTGTGTTGCCTTTGACGTAATATATATATCTATCTGTATGGTTTATTGCATTTTATGTAATATAAAAAGTAGTACATTATTTATTTTTCCTAAATATCTAGACGATATTGTTAGGATATTTTATTATCATGAGCATATTTGGATGTCTCAGCTGGATGTACATTAGATATACGACAGAGATATCCATAGGATATTCTATTCTGAGACATCTCCAGGATTTCAGGATGTCTGGAGGATATCCTATAGATGTCTTTATAAGATGATCTTATAATGGGACATTCCGACATTCTATGAATATCTGAATATCCTGCGGATATTGTGTGTTATATGGGTAGATATGGTTGATGTCGACAACGTTATCAGGAAATATGTCTTAAGACATGAAGAGAGGCTCCATCAGCACATCAACATCGAAGCCCATCAGCTCCTGGATAGTGATGGCTTAGTTAGAAGACTGAAAAGTACAAAACCATTTGAACTAGTGTAGTAAAAAGCGTTACTACAGCCCAGTGCATTGTAACATAGTGCTCCGACAAAACTGGCAGAACCAAAATTACTTATCATAGGATTAGTGTTTTGTATTTAACCGTAGAAAATTAAGTCAAAAACAAATATCTTATATGTATATGTTATCTGTGTTATTAGTGAAATTTTACTAGATTGCTATACTAAATTGCCCAAGGGTAAAAAAAAAACTTATCCAAAAGATGGAAACTGAGTTTCGCAGAGTTTTTTTTACGTAGAATTCAGTGGCGTAACTAGTTTTTTGCTTTGCTTTTATAACTTTTATACGATATCCGAGATACAAAGGGGGTCGAAAATGCAACATTTTCACATTCGCCCTGTATTTCAGAAAGAAAGGGGGCTCGGACAAATGTGTCTATAGTATCTTTAGTATAGCATCTTATCTTATCTTTCATAAAAAAGTAGTACAGTGATATGAAAACGCATATTTGTATCCCTACTGATGAACGAGAAACCCCATAAAACAATCGAAAATGGGACACCCTGTACTTCGATCAAATATACTTGGACGCCACTTGGTACGATCCAAACAGCGTCCAACTTTTTTGACCGAGCGTCCAACTTTTTTGAGATGTCAATCAGACATCTGAAAACTGACAAACTGGATTTGATTAAAAATTACCTCTTTGTATTGGGCTGTATCCAGATCTCTTGAATCTTTATACCGATTGTAGTACTTGCCAGCGGCAATTTGAAATAGATTCTTGTTGGCAATTTTCCCATCTTTGTTTCTTGTCACGCAATGGGCAGCTAAAATAAAATGCACATATATAAGCGATACCAATTAAAAAGAAAAAAAATCGTTTAAAAAGAAAACAGCTAAAGATCTAGATATTTTAAAACAGTTACCTGTTAACACTATATTTGGTCTTAATAATGATCCACCGCAAACATTAATATACGTATTTGAGTCCTCGTCTAACCTGTAAATGGCAACCATCCACGGGTAATTGCCCCTTTCAACATTTCTTCCATTCACTATCAGTGTATTAGCCGTAACTCTCTTCTCTCCGCAAACTGAAAGTAAATAAACAAAAAAAAAACATCACCAATAAACACGTCACAATATCTAATATATAGTCTATCCAGCGGGAGAATATATGACTTCCAGGGACGTCATCTAAAAAGACAGCTGTCACAAACTGTCATTGTCGTATCTTCTTCCGCTGAACAGACTATAGTTCTGACAGTTGGTTCGAGTATTAGGTTGTGATTTAAACACAAGGATAATGTTTAATTATTTTTATTTTATTTACTGATTATGTAACAAAACATTTGTGCATAATATACAAGGAATAGTAAAAAAATAGGTAAATAAAGTTAACTTTGGCCATTTAGAAATGATTTGGCATTTGATAATCGTTTTCATATTATTTGACACACATGTCAAATATTAAAGGTAATACGAATTAAAAAAAAATGCGATTTGGTTGCGAGTTGTGATTTAAATTTATTACAAAACAAATTTCAACTAAAGAAATAAAAATTATGGCTTTTTGAATAAGTGTTTTGACCGTTACCGAAATAGAGTACGATCGAAAAAAAAACGGCGTCAGCGATGGCTATGCAATGAAGATCGCTGTCATTTTATATGTAAAATTCTTTGAATAAGAAGACTAAGGAAGGAGCATATCAAAAATCTTAGGTACACCGCGATGGGCCTCAAATATGGCCGACTTAAATTCCGGTTTATCAGTGTCGTTCTAATTTTATTTAAAAAATGTAAAACTATGATATAGGGTAGACGTGGGGTAGACTCAATAATTTGTTGTTTTATTTTACGTTGTGAATAAATGTTGGTAGTTATTAAAGCTGTGCCATATGTATATTACACACGACTTTGTTTACGGGACTTTCACATGCATTTTTCTTTTTATTTCTTTCTAGAACAAGATTATCGTATAAATCTATCCTTCTCTCTGCGTACGCTACTGAGCATGCGCAGAACGACATTAGACGTAAATGTTAGCTTGGAGCGTTTTTTTTCGCTGCGTTGACAACAATTACTAAAAATATAGACCACTAAAATTTTTCAATCGAGATATAACTGATACGTGTATTTATTATTTTGAAAACATTTGTCATATTATTTCCAATATACTTTTTATGTATATTTTAAACAAAAATTAAATCATATAACGATAAATTCTTTTTTAAAAATGTTTTAAAATACTTCTTTGAAAAATAGCTATGATCAATGGGCAACACATAGAAATCAGTAACCAGAGAAACGTTAAAATATGTTTTGACATTGAAAAGTCAAAACATATTTTAATAAAATAATTTAATTAATGTCACATTTTGTGCTTTTTCTACTGTTTGACTCGTGATAATAAAGAGTTAATTTGGAATTCCGACGAGAGATATTTTAGATTTGTGTTCTTTTTGAAAGTTTGTTTTTGTAGTGCGAGATAAAGTTAGTGGATAAATAGACATTATGACTGATAAAAGTGTTATATGTGAAGCTGTCCGCAATAGGAAAAATCTTATCCTTAAAAGAACTCCACAACACTATAAAAGTATGAAAACCTCTGAAGTATGTTCCATATTTTTAAAAAACAAGATATATATTATTTAAAATCGTTTCTTCAACTGGCTTTGATTGAGTGAAATACATATTTATGTTAGGTAACTTATCACTTTAAATACTTAAGGTAAACTATAAAAAAAGTATACTATAAAGGTAATTTACCTTTGCTTTTTTTTTTCGTTAAATAGTTAATATACTAGTAAATATTATCCAATAAATAATTAATATCCGAATAACAATATTATTTTCTCAAATTTATATATTTACATTTTCTATTTTATGGACATAAAAAGGGTTCTGACAAACTACAGTTACTTTTAAAAACTACATAAACTACATTACATGTAGTTAATGTAGTTTATGTAGAGATAGTTTACGTAACCTATGTATGTAACTTTCAAATGTCAAAGGTTTGAGGTGAGGTTATAATAAGTTGAAGCTTTAAAAACACATAATGTATTTAAGAAAACAGAAGAAATATGGCTTTAAATATAATATTTACATCATATTATCTCTATTACACCTCATACAAAGGAAAATTAGCTCCGTAAAGACTGACAAATCCACAAAATTTCAAATCAAATTCAAATGTGTCAAATGAATCGTCAAACAGAACTGTCAAGGATCCCCACCCTAGAGAGCTTTTATGGTGGCTTTTCCGCCCACCATGCATGAATACATGGATAGCATTATTCTCCTTCCTTAGTCTTCTTATTCAAAGGTAAAATTATATGGGAATATAGATAGACAGGAATTTAATGTCAGTAAGTAATGTGTCATAGTCGCCCAAATCTTTGTTTGAATGTTCCTTTCTTGGTATTTTTATTCAAAAGAAAACCTCTATAGATAAATGTCAGAATAATGACATGTAAAATCACAAAATAATCTAAAGATTGTTCAGCCATCGTTCACTGTTACGTCATCATTATTTGTCAAACCTAGATCATATATACTTACGTGGATAAATCAACGCCATAAGTTTAGCATTAAAAAATATTTCTCCAACATCACGACCTGCCATTTTCAAACCTTTTTTATTGCACTTATGAAACGTTCAATAGGTTTGTCTTTCTCGAGGAACTTACTTTGCGCATGCGCATTAAAAGTTGCACGTATTTCCTAAATAATCACAATTTTATACGGTTTAGAAAGTACAAATTATACATTGTTATGGAAACCAACTTTTTATTGTCATCATATTGTCATAATCATATGTCATAATCTTATTCCCATTGTATAACGACGCTTATTTTTTGCGTTTTTTATTTTAAAAATTGTATCAATAATTACTCTTTTATCGACAGCTTTTATATAATTATAATAATTTTTATTTATATAATAACTTTTGTGACAGTAAACAATCAATTTATTGTTCAAATATAAGCGTTTTACAATATAAATTTTTAAAATAATGTTCAAATTTGGCGCGCGGACGATAGGTCCTCGACAAGGATAGATAGAGCAGAGGCACCGCGTGTGTAACAAAAAAAGAAGATAAATGGAAGTCGTTGATATGTTTGGGACTGTTTCCATAGTGATTTACTTATCCACATAAGTATATATGATCTAGGGATACTAGTGCCTAAAAGAATGTCATTTCGAATCTCAAATAAATATCAAAAACTGTCAATTTCGAAACGCTTCACAAAAAAGAATATGCAGTAATTTACGAAATGCCTTAACGACGTCACCAATTTCTTTCATTGGTTAGAAAGTGATTGAGAGAGTTCGACAATATATGACGTCACGTTGAACGATGGCTGAACATTCTATATATCGAATATACAAACAAAAAATATTAATTAGGGAAAATTAGACGATCTGGATTTATCGTACTAGAAATAGTACTAATACTAGTTCTAGGAGTACTAGGTACTCTCACATCAATTTCGGTAAGGTTTGGAAACATTTTTTGTATGAAGGCTTGCATGGTGTCCGGATTATAAAATATAAAATAGAAATTATAAACGATAGGAGTAGAAGTACCTGGAATACAAGAGGGGCTATAATCCCAAGTTCCATCACGACAGTTGACGGTGGTGGGGTTGGTCGCTTCGTAGAAGGGGGCGCATTTATAACTTAAAATGACCCCGCTTGTAGCTCTGTCACATGTTACTGGTGTTCCGGATTCAATATTCTTGCAACCCATAGTTATGGTGGGACTGTTGTATAGAGGAGGACATAGTTCTGGAACAACATTCAGAATTTGATATATAGTTTTGTTTTCTAGTTGTTATTAGGGATGGTATTTTTCCCGATATATCGATAACTATCGATATAGATATCGATATATCAAATAACAATAATGCAAAAATATCAGTCGCAAAACATTTTCCGAAGCACGTCATCAATCATATCGAAATAATTGACACTAAAGCCTACAAACCTGACTAAATGAAATTTTGGCAAAAATGTTTAAATTTTTTGTATAATAATTTAAGATACCGAGCAGCTCTTCATTTTACTTCATAGAGCAAATGATTGTAACAAATATTTTATTTAGATTAAAGCTGCAAAAATTAGTTTAAAGCGATTTTTATTATCGCCATGTTGGTCACATTGCTCCGCGATCAGCAACGTTGTCGTTTATTATTGTCAGTCAATATTTTATATAATATCGTGTTATTGTAGAATCTTTGGGAGTTTTTTTCTCGTTTTTTGCCAGTTTTCATAGTCTTTTTTTAAAAATTGTACTTTTAAGCACAACAGTTCTTTTAAGAACTCAATTTTCGAATTTTCGTATTGCATTTCATCAAATTGTGTGTCGAAAATATGCCAAAATATTTAAACAGTCGAAGCAAAGAGCTTGTAGCTTTCTTGATAAACTATTTCGAACGAGAACACGAAAATAAAAGTCCTTGACTGCAGTCAGTGAAGTAAGTTTGATTGGTAAGCACATTATATCACTTTCAAAATTATTTCTTATTTCGATTTGCAGCGAGTAGCTCTGCTGCCTTAAATTTAAATATTGCTACTGTAAGTGTTAGTGACTAGTGTTAATAAATAAATTACAAAAATATTAGTTATTAAATTAACACTAAAACGTAAACATTTTTAAAAAATGATGTAATAAATATATTGCGTCCCAATTTTACAGTAAGATTCTTCTCATAAATCCATCACAATCTGGCAGCGCTGTCGCTATCGCTTGTCACTCAAGTTGATCACGTGCATCGGAAATTGTTTTGCGATTATTTTAGGTGATTTCAAAATTATCGATCGAGTCTTCTTGATTTTTGTGAAAGTCAAATGTTAGAACACTTAGCAAAACATAGGCATCTCAAATCTCATTCAAATCGAATTATCGGTTCTTAAATTATCTTAAAAAATGTGTTTATTTTTTTAAAGTTTGATGCCCTTATCAATAATCATCGAGATATCGATATAGAAAAAGAATATGTACGTACTTTGACAATAAGGCATGTCCTTAAACAACCAATTTCCTTTTTCCAAACATACGACAAGTTCGATGTCTTTCTCCGTAGTTGACAGCCTGTAGCCGCTGTTGCAAGAGAAGTTAATGATGCTGTTGATCCCAACACGTTCTCCTGAGTTTCCTGCCTGTTGGTTGCTAGCATACACCCAGCGTCCATTTTCCGGCTGAGCTGGCGTCACACACGTTGTACTGTGAAAAACAACCGAAAAATAAACTTTTTGATTTTCATATAAGTAAAAATTCTATATAGATATTATAGGTATTAACGTGGCTAACGTCATATTCAAGGCCTGACTGTTTTGACAGTTCTACCGAAGTGGTCCAGAATTAGTAGTAACTAGGTCACGTCCAAAACCTACAGAACATGCTGTGCCTACAATTTTTCCAAATCAACCCTCTTATGGACCCTCTGTGCATGTTCCCATAAAGAGAAAACGTCCCGATGAAAGAAAACAAGATTTGGAAATTCAGGATGAAATAAATATTGAAAAGTATTATTATTATTAATATAATTAAATGAATTTGTATTTTATTTCAGTATTTTATATAAAAAAAATGATATCTTTATCTTTTTATTTACGATTTATGGAGATGGTTACTTGATGAACATCGAACTACAAATTACTTAATGTTAATAGTTAATTCTATCTGATATCCACATTTTTTAAATATGTTAGGCCAATTTTTACAATTATTTTTAATTAAACTTTAAAATGTATTCTGCCGTTATTATATACAATACATTTTCTTAACTTGTCGATAAACATATAGTTTTCAAATTTTTTAATATTTGGAAACTTTTTATCACAGGTATATTATTACTACTTGCTAAATACTCGCTAACGCAATTTTAGGACACGCTTTATATTATCTAGATTTTATTTTGTTCATTTTATGCTGTAGTTTATTTCATATTAATATTCGTGCTTTAGATCTAAATTTTAATGCTATTCAATTACTTTAACGCGATAAAAAGTTAATGTTATTTTTTAATACCTTTCTGTATAATATTTTTCATATTTATATCTGGCAAAACTATCAATAAATACTATTATTTATGCAAAACCTATATGCAGTACCATATGGCACAATACAAAAGCCGGACTAGTGCGGTGACGTCATAAATCGATGTCTCTGGCCTGTCTGTCATGTTGGTGATGGTATTAATAATCTTGATATTATAACTCCCCACTGTCGCGCAGTGGTCGATATATTTTAGTAAAAATTCGCACTAAGTATTGACGTAGAGAGTACTTACCCTGATCCAGATGGTGGTGATTTTGTAGGTTTTGTTGGGGGAACCGGAGTGGGTACCACCTCACAATCAGCCTCATCCGAATTGTCAACGCAGTTCTGGACTCCGTTACATCTAGAAAATTAAAAATATTATATAAAATAGAATTTTTGAAGCGATTTATTTTAATTTAGTTCAAACAGAATTGACAACAGTATGTGTGGCGTTTTTAGATGCGGCTAGAATGTAGAATGTGTGAGAGGGTATGTTGTTTCGTAGCTTCAATCTACTTGAGGTGTTCGTTGAGGAGACAGTGTCCTGTTAAAAACCCGTGACAATACGAAGATTGTTCTTACTTACACTGGTTGGTTTTGCAGACGACATCGCCATGGCTGTAACAGCTAGTAGTGAGGAATCCTTGATAAATTTGGCCGACACCGGACTAATGCGAGTAACAAAGTGGACGAGGAGGCAAAACCTTCAACTTGCACCTCATAAAACTGAAGCAGTTCTACTAACGACCAAGAGAAAAATAGCTAGACTATATTTTAATGTAGAGCAAACAATAGTTAATCCAAGTAGTGCCATTAAGTATCTTGGTGAATGGCTGGACTCAAAACTGACATTCGGAGTACATATTGACAAAACTGTTGTTAAAGCGCAGAAGACGATAACGGCATTGACTAGTCTCATGCCGAATATCAGGGGTCCCAAATCCTCCAAATGGCGTATTCTGGCAAGTGTGGTACATTCGCAATTACTGTATGCAGCACCGGCATGGCATACTATAAAACCAACTAAACCAAACTGTTGTTAAAGCGCAGAAGACGATATCGGCATTGACTAGTCTCATGCCGTATATCAGGGGTCCCAAATCCTCCAAATGGCGTATTCTGGCAAGTGTGGTACATTCGCAATTACTGTATGCAGCACCGGCATGGCATACTATAACGCAGAATAAAACACAACTGCAGAAACTTATAAGAGTGCAGAGAACAATATACATCAGAGTTTGCTGTGCATACAGAACAATATCTGGTGAAGGTGCTTGCATTGTAGCTGGAATTCCTCCAATAGAGCTTCTAATAAAAGAAACACATGCAACTTACTGTGGGTTGCCAAGGCAAGAGGCCCGAAGTAAAATGATGAGTGGCAAAATAAATGGAAAAATGCAAAACATGGCAGATGGATACATATATAAACTTATCCCGAATATTGAAAAGTGGACTACTAGAGGCTACGGAGAAGTAGACTACTACATAACGCAAGCGTTGTCGCGTCATGGGTGCTTGGTAAATATCTGTTTATTCGAAAAAAAAGACCACACCTCAGTGTATATATTGTCATGCCGAAGATGACGCAGAACATACTTTATTTGAATGCCTTAGATGGGATCAAATTAGAAGTCAATATTTGCAAGATACAAAAAAAGTGTTCAACATAGGAAATGTAGCAAATAGCTTAGTTGCCTATGTAGCAAATAGCTTAAATAATGCCTGGGACAAAGTTACAATGATTATAAGATATATTATTGAAAATAAAGAGAAGGGAGTCCCAGATGAGTTTTTTTAGCCGGTAGGAATCCTGCACTACCCTTTCGGGGTGTCTCATGCAAGATTTTTTCCCTCTTCAACAAAAAAAAAATCATCGTAGATAAAGGACTAGTTCTCACCTGGAATCTCCATCTACGCAGGCACCATATGCGCACTTGTATGTATATCCGGGACAGTAAATGTTGAGACACAGCTCTTCTGTTTCGTCACTTCTATCGTCACATTCTGTGACCCCGTTACATCGACTATCTGCGCTGACGCATTGACCGTTGCTGCATTCAAACTGATCTGACCTAAAAAAAAATTGAATCAAAATAACAAAAAACTGTCAGAGGGCTGTCAAAATTTGATATTGTGTGTATCCATAAAATGTCAATGAATATTTACCTGCAATAGGTGTTGACTTTGGGGACCGAGGAGCAACCGACTTCATCAGAGTTGTCTTTACAGTCTTTGACACCGTTGCATTGTTTGTCACTGCTCAGACAAGCTCCATAGTCACATCGAAATAAGTATCCTGGACATCTAAATAAGAAGTAAAAAAACAAGGTAATTACTACAAACAGTGACGATGCAAGACCTAAAATTATTTTGCGCTTAAATTTCGAGAACCACTGGATCTTTTCTGGTTTTCTTTCATGTAAATTTAATCTACTACCTATGTTGCCATATTATGAAGATATTATGTTTTTTAACTAAAAATTACAAAAAATACCAATAATTTTTTCAAAAAATTCCATTTTTTTTCGCGAAAAAAACCTCATAGACGTGTTTCTGGGGTTAAAATATATACTCCCCCTGAAAATATTTGCACTTATTTAAGACTCATCCTGTATATAGTGCTATAAAGGCAAGAACAGTACGAACCGATGAACTAATTGGACTAAATTTTTATTTATCAAGTTATTTTATTTATTGATTGATAAAAATGTATGAATGCCTGGGATTTTCTCAGATTCAAAAAAAACACGTTATATTAAACAGTATACTATAAATAACAATACTTTAAAAAGTTCAATAAAACATTGATAAAATGTCACAGCCTCGTAAACAAATCTATGTAATGCTATACAGGGTGTGTCTTAAATAAGTGCAAATATTTTCGAAAATAGTTCAAAATATTCGAGTTATTTTACTTTCACAATTTCCAAGAAAATTATTTTTCCTTAAATTTTGAGAACCACTGGATCTTTTCTGTTTTTTTTTCCTTGTTAATTTTCTACTACCTATATGTTGCCATATTAGCAAGAAATTATGTTTTTATCTAAAAACTAAAAAAAATTAAAATTTTTTCCATAAATTCCAAATTATCAAAAAAAATCATAATCATGTTTCTGGGGTCAAAATATACTACCCCTAAAAATATTTGCACTTAGTTAAGAATCATCCTGTATAATTTTTGTTTAAAGACGAAAACTAATTAAAAATTAAAGAAAAAATTGAAGTGAAACGATTAAAAACAATATAATATTTAAAAATAATTAAAGATGAAGGTTATAATTTTTTTGTAACAAGTATTTTAGTTTACTTATCAAATTATTATCAAAATTACTAAATTTGGCATAATATGAGATTAATAATAATTTATGTGTTTTTGAAAGCTTGTAGTTTATTTTCTCTTATCTATCTTAATTATTGTTTATATACAGGATGATTTTATAGCTGTGAATAAATTTAGAAAATCAAAGATAATGTGTTTATTGGAAACACGGGCAAGCCGAATAGTAAGTATTTTAAATTGTGCTTTTTTTGATGAGAGAAAATTTTAGACAGCGTGTTACGAATTTGAGGTATGACATGAACGACAATTTTTTAAACATTAGTGAATGTGAATCACCCTGTGTATTTATAGAATAGAATATAAATAAAGAAACCTTACACTTGTTGTTTACACAGCGATTCGAACTCATCACTACCATCAGAACAATCCAAAGCACCATCGCATTGTTTATCAACATCGATACACTGTTGAGTTGTTTTGCACTGGAACCTGCAAATTATTTTATATTTCGTTACCATTTCTCCTTTTATTAAGATAATTATTTAAATAAATCCAGTTCAAATGTTCTAAGAAGTTCTAAATATACAGGGTGGTCCGAATGTTATTCGGAAAATTTCGTCAGCAGATTATATAGATAAAAATCAGTAAAAAAGTTCTTAGAAATTTAAGGCTTAAAATGCTTCGTTTCGAAGAATTGTTATCAATTATTTGGAAAAAATCGAAATAAAAATGAAAATTCTACACCCTGTATCTCCCGAAACGAAGCATTTTAGGAAATAAATTTATACAAACTTTTTGAATTATTTTATCTGCAGAATATGCTGCCGAATACAATTCGGACCATCCTGTATACAAATATTCCAAACATGCAACGCGGTATTTATACTCTTTGTAATTATTTAATTGCTTTAATAATAAACCTCTTTATTTGTTATTGTAATACCCAAGAAACTATTTTTTAATGAGATTTGTAAGACTTACCCATCGTTACATGAATTTCGATTTTGTCTTCTTAATCTTATTAAACTAGAATTCTCAGTCTTTGCGTATGAATTTGAAGATAAACTAAATCCATTGGAAGAATCAGCTAGATAGCCTCCACAAAACAAATAAAAAGACACAAATAACGATTAAAATCAAAGAAAATTATAGAATTTGGTATTTACTTACAGAGAACAAAACATGTTATTAGGAACATTAGCTTGCCAAATCGCATTTTCTGCTCAGTTTCAACGTAAAGTCGAATTTATTAGTACTTGTTTATCATGTTTTACTGATATTGACTGCGCTAAATGTGTTTGTTGCGGTATCTTGGCCGGTACTGCCGGAGAATAACAATGTCACGTTGCCGGACAAACCAGTTTCATTCTGGGATTTCCGTACGATACCCAGAGATGAGAAATAGCGGATTTCGGATTGTTGTGATTTTCATTTCTTCACCAGCTTGTTCGTTTAATTTATTTATCACCAATAAAGATTTATCAAAGTGATTCTAACAAAAATAATTAATTAAATGTCCTGTTAACTGTGCACTGTACAGGGTGGATCAAATTGGACGCTTTTAAAGGGAAACGCCCTTTTCTATAGGATATTTACCTAAAGGGATTTACCTAAAGCCTTCAAGAAGACTAAGATCGTGGCCATATTGAAACCGGGTAAAACAGGAAAGCTAGCCGCTGACTATAGGCCCATCGCGCTGCTGAGTGTGTGCTATAAAATACTCGAAAGGTTAATCCTTAATCGTATTTCAGAGCGAGTAAATGAGCATGTCCCCATCGAACAAGCTGGTTTTGGAAAGAACAGAAGCTGTTGCGAAGTCCTCTCGCTCACTACGCATATCGAGAAGGCTTTCCAAGCTTCTCAAAACTATCACAGTTTTAGTCGACCTGACTTCGGCTTATGATATGGTCTGGAGAGATGGAATGGTATTAAAGTTCATTAAAATCTTCCCTTGCAAAAAGTTGGCCAATTTAATAAACAACATGCTCTCTCGAACAGAAATATCTAAGTGCATTTAAAGGGAGAAAAAAGTCGCACTTACAACATCAACAATGGTCTCCCACAAGGCTCTGCATTTGCCCCTGTTCTTTTTAATATCTATACCGCCGACCTTTCTGCTACAGTCTCCAAAAAATTTATATACGCAGATGATATTGCACTTTCCTGCCAAACAACTGATTTCACTAGAGGCGAAAATATTCATCAGATGACTTGCAGAGGTTAAATGACTACTTTCGTAAGTGGAGGCTTCGCCCAAACATTGCTAAGACTGAGGTTTCGTGCTTTCATCTTCACAACTTACAAGCCAAGTATGTACTGCAAGTCAAATTTGGGGATCAACTGGTAAAATACAACTCTCACCCAAAACACTTAGTCACATTGGATCGGTCTCTCACGTTCAAGCCACACCTCAACAGGATCGCAGGTGGAGAGCAAACGCCAGTGTACTTAAAACAACAGAATATTGCTGCCCTGTCTGGATAAACAGCAATCATATTCATCTTATTGATACTCGTCTTAACAGCGCGATGAGAATTATAACGGGCACTATCAGAAGCACTCCGATCCAGTGGCTCCCTGTATTATCAAACATTAGTCCCCCTCATCTGAGAAGACAGGCGGCTCTAGTCAGAGAGTGGAAAAAGTGCACCAGCAATGTTCATCTGCCCATCCATGATGATTGCGAAAATTTCTTGAATCGCCTGAAATCCAGAAAACCGCCATGGGTATTAGGGCAGCATCTACTAAATTCCAACTTTCGGGTTGAAGACTGCTGGCGAGATGAATGGTCACAAAATAATCCTGACCTTCATCACTTGATAACTGACCCAGTACTCTGCCCTCCCGTATTCAATTTGCCAAGAAAAACGTGGACAACGCTCAATCGGTTCAGAACTAACCATGGCAGAACCCGCTTCTGGACACATGGGGACTAATCGACAGCCCTAACTGCGATTGCGGACATTTTGAACATACACCTTTTCATATCGCAACAGAGTGCCCATTAACAAAGGCGCAGTTCTCTTTAAATCGTCTTCATAAGACTGACCTGGATGCTATAGAATTGATCGCAGAGCTAAATCTTGTAGTGTAAATTTATAGTGGTTCGTTTTTACTGTAACATTGTGATATGTCTCTTACACATCTGATTGTTGATCTTTGAATTGTTTGTATTATTGTATTGATTTCTTGTTTTTGATTTCTAGATATCATGTGTACTCTTAACACGCCATACGAAATATATATATATATAGGAGATAGACGAAAACTAATATCGGTGTCTGGAGCTCAATTTTCATCAAAATCATGATGGTGAAAACCGCACATCGATATCTGTTACCGTTTCGGAGTTACGGGGTGTTTTTTAAAAATGTGCATTTTCAAAAAATCGTTGTAATTTTTTGCCAGGGAAAATTTTGTATTTCTATGAAAACATTTCCAAAGCACCTTTTTACGTAGAATTTAATGGTTTAAGTATAGTTTTTTTTTAAATTAATAATTTAAAAGTTATCAACAGAAATTTTGATTTTTTATTTGGGACACCCTGTATATTTTAAATTAACTGAAAGGAACTTAAAATTACCTTTCCAAAAATATAGCACACTTGATATTTTGTTATAATCTTCTTCGAAATACAGAATTTTTTAAAGTTCGCCACTTAACTAGTAGGCTTTGTACCCCTTATTGATGAGATATGCCCCGTAATAGAACTCGAAAACATATTTTTCCAGTAAGACGAGACAGCGCAGCGCCTCAGGACGCTGAAGTTATCAGCAAATTTTTGCAGCCAATTTCAAGAATAATTGATTAGCTAACCAAGATTCCAGCCGTTGGCCGTCGAAGCCACCGGACTTAGTGCCTATGGATCTAATCCTATGAATATCTTTGCGGAAGAATAAAGGTTCTTATTTTTAAATTGTCCGTATAATTTAGACAAGAATTAGAAATACTTAGAAGTTAAGAGAGGGTATCTTTCACCCCTACTGTGTTAATGAATTCCACGAAGAAGTCGAACACCTGTCGCATAATCTCACTTTTTGGTTTGATATTTATTTTTATTGTTATTAGATATAGTTTAAATGTGTTGATGTTGGTTAAATATAGTTTAAATTGTTATAAAATTCTGCATCTCTCATTGCAAATATTATTTTCATTATAATTGATGCTCACAGCTAGAATTTTTTTGCATTACAGCCGGCGCCGCCCCGTTCATAGCCTACTTATTTAAAGTGGGCGAATTTTTATAAACTATCTCGAAGAGGAATCGAGCAAAATACCAAGTGTGCATATTTTTGGAAAAGTGATTATAAATTATTTTCAATTAATTAAAAATATATAGGGTGTCCCATATAAAAAATCAAATTTTCTGTTGATAGTTCTTAAATTATTAATTTTAAAAAAATTATACTTAAACCATTAAATTCTACGTAAAAAGGTGCTTTGGAAATGCTTTTATAAAAATACAAAATTTTCCATAGCAAAAAAGTTGCAACGATTTGTTAAAAATACATATTTTTGAAAAACACTGTTTATGTAGGTTCATCTTTATAATTAGTGCATTGCCGACTGTATTAAGTTATTTTTTGTGTATTTGTAACTCTTCAAGATTGATTGTAATTAGCACAATGTCATCTGCAAATTTTGGATGGTTCAGGTAATTGCCACCTATCTTATAGACTTTTGCTTTTCCAATCTAAATATTCTCTAAAGTTGTAGATACCTTTGGAGAAATTGGGTTTCCTAAATGTGACTGTTTTGTTCCATATTTCTTTTCAAAGTACAGGTATATTTTTTATTAAGTTGTATAAAGAAAACTATGGCTTTTAAACACAAATTTATTTATTATATCATAATATTTCGGCTCAAAATCAAAGAATTTCCTTGTTTTAAGTAAGAACAATCTTCGGATTGTCACGGGGTTTTTAACAGGACACTATTTCCTCAATGAACACTTCAGTAGAGTGAAGCTAAGAGTCAAAGGCGAATGCAGATTCTTGGGGAAAATGGGGAAACACCAGAACACAACTGAGACTGTATGATGAGTTATAACTCAAAAAAGGGGACACAATAGCTAACTACCTCTACAATCTACATCTACAATTTTATTTAATATATAAAAAACATTAGGTTAACTAGAAGTGTTATCAATTTAAAAATAACAATTACAGCACATTCTTTAGTTTCAATTAAAACCCATAACGTATATATTTCAAAACTTCCTTTAATTATCCATCCCAAGTAATCATAGAAACATACTATGATGCATAGAAACATACTTTTTTAATTAAAGGTTAGTAGAAAGAACAACGGGAAAACATTTTAAATAATTTAATAAAAAAAATTCTGTATGTTTCAATTTTTTTGTAATAAATGAAGAGTTTCATCAGAACTTGTGGTAGTTGTTGGTCGTAAAAAAAGTTTATTTTTCTGAAATATTACGGTCTTTAATTACGATGAACAACGAACAGTTTGTGAGAGTAACAAAATGGTACATGGTTGCGATGGGTTTCTGGAAGTTTGAACCGAAAGTTTCATCGCGTTATTACACGTTTTACGAAATATACAGAAAGGCAATGCCTACTTGCTTTTCTGTCTACGTTTTGTGCCTGATCGTTAAAGCCATAGAAATAATCAAGAATGATTCCGATGACGTAACAAAAATCAGTATCACAATAGCGTACTTGATCACCACAGGAGATCTTCTCGTGAAAGCAATCATATTTCACAGGAAAAAAATTCCGGATTTGTTCACATTGGTGAAGAAAATGGAACAAGACGTTTGGCAATGTGAAAACGTCGAAATCAAGAACCACTATAAACAGCAAGCGAAAATTTGCAATTTGTATTGCTTGTTTTCTTCTGTGCCAGCTACTTGTGCTGTAATATTTGCTCTGGCTGTCAATATTGTTCGGATAGCCAAAAAGGAAATACCGTCCACTGAATTTATCTTAAACGTTTGGATGCCCTTTGATCAAAGCAAACATATCGTTTTAAGTTGGGGCATTCAGATTTTTATTTGCTTTTTTAACGGAACTTTACTGATTACAGTAAAAATAACCATTATTACGTTGATCAGATTTGTCCACACCCATTTTCGGATCCTTCAAATTGACATTGAAAAAATTGGGACGATAACAGATGAACATGTTGATTTAAAAAGCATTGTACAACAACACGAATATTTGATTAGGTATTATATTATTACTAGCTGAACCGGTAAACGTTGTTTTGCCATATAAA